ATCCATCTAAGGCAAAACCATAGCCACACATCAAAGATATTCTTACATGTCTGAACATTAGTTTTTTTGCTATCCCAGTTGCTATAAGAAATTGCATTCTTACTTCCCCTTTCTACCCTTTCAAACAAACCCTCGCTGAGAACTGTTTACTCACAAGGCCATTGATGTAAGTACAGGAATTTGATATTTAAATACCAAACATAAAGAGAGAGAGAGAAATACATAAATGATTCTTGGTCAACAAGAGTTAAGAAGCCATCATTTATTTACCACTATACTTCTAAATTACTGAGCTCAGTCCCTTGGTAGAATTATCTATCCCAACAATGATAGAGTGACTCAAATTTTTCATTTAGCCCCACAAATTAACATTTTTTTTCTGGGAGAATGACTAAGTCTTTGTTTAGCCATTTAATTGTATAGTATAAGTGAAGGAGCCAGGGAGTTTTAATATTATCATCCAAATATTGATAGGTTGAGCTTTCCAAGCTAAAACACAGAGAACTTCATTCATATCTCAGACTTATTTCTTCCTTAAAAAGTTTTAATTTTTCTATTCCTTTGTTAATTAGAGATTGGGGGAATCCACAAAATTTTAGAAAACTTCTCATCTGAAGATGCCAGGAATTTAAAAAAATACATGAGAGTGTTCCCTCCCCTGAGTAAATTTCTCCTTATTGTAACAATTGAGAACGAGTAGCCTGTATATTTCTTCCTTGTACTTAAAGTGAATCTTGCCCATCAGTATGCCCCACACATTTGCACAGATTTCTCAAATTCGGGTTAGAGATCTCATCCAGAGACAGCCTGCAGAGAAAGCCTACATCATTTACCTATATGGTCAACATAGTCTTCATTAATAAATATAAGTGAATAACCCAATATCACCAAATATTTAAGATAAGAGCAAGCAAGAAAAAGAAACTGATCAAAAAATAAAGATAATTTAAGAAATTTTTAAAAATTTTAATATAAGTCTGTATCCAAAATAGAGTCAAGGGACTATAACAACCATAAAACAAGACTGGACAGCTATAAACTAGAGCAATCCAGAAAACAAAGCGAGTACTTTGAAATTAATTACAATGCTTAAAACGAGAAGAATAAAATAATAAACACTGTTGTAGACTAAATTAGTCATATGAAAGATACATTCAAATAAATAATCCTAGAACATATAGCAGAATGACTAAAGACCAATAAAGAATTCCAGAGAGAAAATAGAGAGAATGGAAAAGGGTGAATTTTAAGGAAATTAGAGGATTGCTTTTATTATTGTCATGAGTATTTCTTCTCTCCCTGTCATGGCATTATACATTTTTGCCTTTTTAAACACAGGATTTGCAGGTGACTTGCTACAATGAATTATCTGCTTGGGGAAGTAACGAATAGCACTCCTGAACAGAGCTTAAAATTCTTTCATTATTATTATTATTATTATCATCATTATCATTATCATTATTATTATTATCCTTCTGACACAAGACCTGCAATGATCTAGATAGAGATTGTGTCTTAGCCTAAGTCCTAGAATGAAAACCAGAGGGACCTACTACTTCACAAATATTTTGCCACTGTATAATATTCCAGAATCTAATAACAGATTTCTCATGATTCCTGCCATATGCAATGTGAGATAATGAACATTTTTGCAGCACTATGTTGTAAGGGATTTGGTGGACTTTTCTTGCTGCCAACATAACTCTGTATTTCCTGACTGATACACAAATTGGGTGTTGCCAAAGCAGAAAACCTTCAATATGTGTCACGCCTCATGAGCAGCCAATGGACAGTGAGAAAACTGTGAAGATTAGAAGAGCAGTGATGGTATGCAGTGGTAATACATTTTTAAAACTGTCATCAGCTGTCATTCTGAAAGCAGATAACGTACTGACTGAGCCCCTGCTTCTAGCCCAGAGGGAAACGTTATCGGTTGCCTGCTGTGGTATCTTTGGCTGCATTCAACAAGTTTCCACAAAACAGAGACATCTCCGAAGAGATCTGGCTTGATGGCAAGCAAAATTTAAGGGGGGCGGGGGACAGAAAGTCAAAAATCTTGGACCCTTGTAGGGTTGAGGTATTGAAAAGTAAATAACTCTAAAACATCCGAAGAAGATATCGTATATATACACACACCTATAGATTGATGTGTATGTGTGTGCCTCTCTCTCTATATATAGATACTTACAATTCATATATATAAGCTCTTTCTTAGTAGAAGACATAAAATAAATGATTGTCATCTTTGACTACACATATATTTCCTTTTTGGTAATAATCTTTATAAACTAAGTTAAAAACTCTAAGACAGCCTGAGAGAAATATTTTCACCATGTAAAAGACAAAAAGTTAACATTAATTTTTGTATAAATAGCTCCTACAAATTGATACCCCAAAAAAGATGATTAAATAGAAAAATAGGCTCAGTACAGAACAGGAAATTCACAAATGATAATCACTGGTCAGTAAATGTATTAAAAGGTGCTCAATGCAAGCATTTAATAGCAAGATAAATACATTGAAATCCCACGTAAAATAACTTTATAATGCCTGGTATTCTTGAACTGTAGGGAAAGGAATATCCTCATTCAATTTTGAGGGGAATAAAAATTTGTGTCACCCTTTAAAAGAGTACTTTGGCAATTTCTATAATTTTAAATTGTGTATACTCTGATGTTATTTCTAAGTATACAACCTTTAGAAATGTTTGTGAGTGTAAAGATATGACATGAGTAACATGAAAAGATGGTCACAATCAATCAGGATGGAATGGTTAAAATTAAAATACATTCGTATTGAATGACACAATGAAGCAGTTAAAAAAATGGCATAACTCTAGTGGGGGTCACTTAAGGAAGCATACTAGCTATTTCACATAATAACAATCCTAAGGTATATCTAGACAAGTAACACAAATTAAAATATAAAAAGAATAGAAAATTAGAGTGTTTAACCATAATACTTTGCAATTCAAAATCTCTAGAATGAAATATCTGTGTTTTTCTTTAATGAAAATATAATTCTTCAGGACAGTTTCAGGGCTCACTTGATTCAATTTATTATGATATAATCACTCAATTGGAGAATCTTTTCTGTGATATTTTAGAATTTACATAGCTTTTATTTAATTTTAATTTTGGTGATAATGGCAAAGTTAAATATACCACAAGAACCACAAGTGTATGGAAATGTATGATGTAAATTACCACTACACATATCTTGTAAAATTGTACCAGGACTCAAACTAGATTGCAGAAAAGAACATATAAATGTTTCTTTTTCTGTTCATAATCAACTTCAATTGCAAAATTTTAAGTAGTTGCAGTAGTTCATTCATATGCTATCTGGAATACTGAAGTGACCATTCTATGGCATTTTTCAAAGATAGAAGTCATAGATGGGCTGATGGTGAGATTCATAGTAGAAATGAGTTTTCTTTTTACTTTTTCTTAGTATTTTTTTGTGAAAGAATTTTGGCAACATTCAAAGACTGTACTTTTGGTTTGATGCCAGTAATATTTTTTTTTAGATTTTATTTATTTATTTGACAGAGAGAGAGCACAAGCAGGCAGAGTGGGATAAGGAGAAGCAGGCTCCCCACTGATCAGGGAGCCCGATGCAGTGCTCGATCCCAGGACCCTGGGATCATGACCTGAGCCGAACGCAGATGCTTAACCAACTGAGCCATCTAAGCGCCCTGATGCCAATAATATTTTAATAAATAATATTGATTTTCTAGGAAGTTCTATATACATTTATGCTTTCCAGAGCATTATGTACATGGAATCTTGATTATTCCATTATTTTGCTTATAAAACTATTTTTATTCAGGGACACCTGTATGGCTCAGTTGATTAAGCATCTGCCTTCAGCTCAGGTCATGATCCTGAGGTGCTGGGGTCCTGAGATCCAGCCCCACGTCAGGCTCCCTGTTCAATGGGGAGTCTGCTTCTCCCTCTGCCTCTGCCCCTCTCCACTACTGATGCTCTCTCTCACTCTCTTTCAAATAGATAAATAAAATCTTTTAAAAAATATTTTTATTCAATTGACCCTAATTAGTACTAAACATAGATATTTTAAAATATTTTTAATATTATCAGCAATTGATAACAGTGATTTTCTTTACATTTTTCCTCCAATTAAGTTCTTAAGAGCTCAATGACAGGGCGCCTGGGTGGCTCAGTTGGTTAAGCGACTGCCTTCGGCTCAGGTCATGATCCTGGAGTCCCAGGATCGAGTCCTGCATCAGGCTCCCTGCTCGGCAGGGAGTCTGCTTCTCCCTCTGACCCTCCCCCCTCTCATGTGCTCTCTCCCATTCTCTCTCTCTCAGATAAATAAATAAAATCTTAAAAAAAAAAAAAGAGCTCAATGACATTAGTTCACATAGAGTACTACATTACTTTGAAAATGCAGTTGTCTAAAATTATAGTTATCTTTTCTATGTGGTTAACTTTGGGGCTTATATCGAAAATGGGTAATTTACATTTGGCAAATTCATCTTATTCAAAATTATTTTATTCATGGCATTGCACTAATTTTTTTATTTGGTATTATCTCCTGTTCTATGTACATTATCTCCTATCGATGTTTATAATCTGCATGGGTTCTTTTTTATAACATTATTTGATTTTGCTATGTATTCACTAGGTTCCAAATGCAAACCCTTACTTACCAGATATTTATATTCTTCACAGCTAAAGAAACCTTGATGCAGACATTCTTTCTGCTTCTCTTGAAACTAAAGTAGGATTTTTTACCAGAGACTAAGTTAAAAAGTGACTTTAGATGCATTCAGAGCAACTCAGAGGGAAACCTTAAACTTAGCCATCTCCTTTTAATCATTTACTTATCGTTCACATCCTGAGATCATCCTCATCATACAGGTCATGTCTGATGATCAGTAGCAAATGCAATCAGCCATGTAGCTATTACTATCTACACAACTTAATGGTCAGCTATTTGGAAATAATGTGATGACTGGTGATTAATCTTTCTTCAAGGTATTCAGTAAGTGTCCTGAAACATTGGAGCCCTTTCCACTAGGAAGAAAATGGAGTGTTGAAGATGCAACTCTGCTTTCAAAATTTCTCGAGTATATTGCAGACTGCCTAAAACCGCACAAGTCCCGTAAGAGCCCTTTAATGTCAGATGTGTGCCTGGGGATTCTCACATTTTTTATGCTAAAACATTTGCATCTATTTTACATGTATTGTGATTGTGATTTTATTTCGGGAATTTTTGCTTTTACTTTGAGGTTTTAATTCATACGCTTCAAGAATTAAGCATAAATGTGCAGGTTTAAAAATAGTCACAAGTGATCGAGTTAATCCCTTGGATTTAAGACATGAAAAGAATGTGAATGAATGATGTGGTACCCATTGAAACTTCTCCAAGATTTTCACCCACTTATTCCAAAAAGAGCATTGCTAGCACCAAGACACTAAACAAATCAAATACCTGAAATATTCTTCAGCCTTTTTTTTCTAGAAATACATCTACCCACATATTCAATTTATTTCTAAACTGACCTTAGAAATTAAAACACATAGAATAGAGCTAACTTAAGACTACCTGTCAAATCTTGGTGCCTGGGTGGCTCAGTCTTTAAGCATCTGCTTCTGGCTCAGGTCATGAACCCAGGGTCCTGGGGTCGAGCCCCGCATCGGGCTCCCTGCTCGGCGGGAAGCCTGCTTCTCCCTCTCCCACTCCCCCTGCTTGTGTTCCCTCTCTCGCTGTGTCTCTGTCAAATAAATAAAATCTTTAAAAAAAAAAAAAGACTGTCAAATCTGTTCTGCAATAAGATGTGTAAAGATTACATAAAAAAGTCATTGTTATGCTATATTAAGGAAAATGTACCTGTTCTTCATGAATTATACATAAAACTACGTATAATTCTTAACATAGGTTTGACAGCAAATGCTGTTAATAACAAATAATTCCTGTTAGGACACATATGGGTACAATGGACACTTGTGACAAGATATGTTCATTGCATTAATATTAATAATAAAATTATATTAATTTAATGGTGGGAATCATGCTGAGAAGTTTTATGAATATAATGTGGTTAAAAACAAGATGCATACACCAAATCCTGAAGTTAGGTTGAACTAAAATGACATGCTAGCGGGACACTAGATAGCATATGAATGAACTACAACTCTACCATTATAGTATGAAAGTAATAGGAGGCAATATAGAAACAAATGAGTGTGATTATGTTTCAATAAAACTTTATTTATAAAAGCAGATGATGGGTCAGATTAGGCCTGTGTGCTGTAGATGTCACTCCCTGAATTAGAGATTATCCAAGTTGAATATCTGTAGGCATCACAAGTCTTCAAAAGGGCTAAAGATCTAAAAGTCAATCAACTTGATATCAGAAGGTAGGGTTGGTGAAAAAAAAAATTGGAAACCCATGGTTAAATTTATGATTTTCAAAAATGTATTTTGGTTGGTAGCAAGGAAAAACGAGGAATTATTGTTCCCCAAGTCATCCTTGGTATTATCTAAGCATTTTTGACCAGCCAGTCACTAGTTAACCTGGCAACTCACCATAGACATGAGAAATCTTACCAAGGTCAGCAAGGCCTGACCTTGGTCAACACAACTGGTCAGCACGACTAAAACTGGTGACCTACAGAACCTGGGCTGCATAACTGTGGTTTTAAGTCACTGTATTTTGGGATAGTTTTCTACATAGCACAAATTAACTGACAATAGATTGTGTACTAATTATCATTGCATTAAACAGATGATTTATCATTCTTATATGATGGCAACACTTATATAAAACAGAATGAATACAAATAACAGTATTTACTGAGTCCCCACTATACATAGAAACCATGCTTGAGTTCTGAGATGCACCAGTAATCGAGAGAATTATGCCACCTGCCCTCAAAGGTTTATGTTTGTCATGTTCAAATAACAGGTTGCTGGAATAGTCCAATCTATAGTCAAAGGTTAACCTTCTCCAGTGACAAAAATCAACATTCTTATATATAAACTTCAAAAAATTTACTTAATGTGGCTCTAACCAAGATGAGCTAGAATGTTTATGACGTTTTAGATTTTTTTAGGAAATAGAAATCATTGGGTGCCCCCTTTACTGCTTGTTTCCTAAATGAAGACTAATGCTGTGATCCACTCTTCTCTTCAGTTTTGCTTTTTGTGAGGCAGCTCATTTCTACATGTGGCATTCACTGAACCTCTTTTTCTTTTTTCCTGTGAGTCTGTTGCAAGTGAGAGCTGTAGGTATGTGGGACTTGAGCATTTTCAAGAGTGCCTTGGCAGACCTCCAGTCCTTTGAAACTTCGTTCTGCTCACTATGCTGTAATAGTTTCCATTTTGAGTCTTAGCTTCAACATTTTGCATCTTACAACCGTTTGCTGTTGGGTTACTTAAGCCTACTTAAAATTTCATTAATTTAGAAATAATAACACAGATGTGTTCATAATAAAGGCCCAAAATGCTTCTTACCTATGTATTCTTTTAGGTTAAAAATGGAGAGAACCATATCTTGTCAGCTACCTAATAATTAATAAGTATTTTCTTAAAGTGTATGTGATAAAATATGTAGAAAATACTCTCTTTTTCTCATTTCTCAATTACAGAGATTCTCCACCACATTTTTAACCAGAACTGAAATTTGCTGCACGCTTCCTAAACTCCAAAGTCCCTGCTGTTTCTGAACTGAAAAAAATGAGAAAAACAGAGCACCTCGTCCATGATCATGAGAATGTTCAAAGTAACTAAAATTGTTTCCATGAAAATTGTTAAATTTAATATTAAACAAAAAGGTACAATTATTCCTAAGTACTTTCAATGCTTACTATCTCACGGCATCTATCTTCAGCAAAATAAAAGCTTAAGAGTTTTTTTAATTTAAGAATAAAAATCAACATAACTTATCAACTTATAACAAGTAAGTTATAACTATAACTATGCTTCAAATGACATTAAAATGCTAAGGGTAAAATGTATCTCTTTTATGTAAACTACATAAATAGTAGAAAATAAATTGTAAAGCATCAATTAGCACTTTTATTTGTATTCATTCAGAATACTATTAACAGAAGTCATCCAATGTACGAGGTTAACTTTATTTCCTAAGTTATTTCCCATATGGAGTAGTGCAGGAATATAACATCTGTATAATTCTAATATTTTCTCAAATCCTCCAAACCCTTTAAGTGTCAGGCAACCAAGACTAGTGCTCAGACCATTAGTCACAGGTGCATACTAGAAAGACTGGAATCAAATCACTTTAACTGCCCTGTCTATAGGTCAATCATCTTGAAAAAATATTCAAGAAAGTCATCTCAGCATAAGAACTGATGAAGTATTCATGAGTTCAAGCATTTCAATTTTATATATTTTCCCTCTTTTTTTGTACCTTAAAAATTTTTAATATCCACGTTTTACTTCAGTTTATCATAGACAACATGGTCTAGGCTCATAAGAGATGAATTCAGTCTGTTAAATTCTCTGTGATAAAACAGCCAAAATTATTAAATCTCATGCCTAAAATCTAAATGTTTATGTCATGATATTGTTTCATATTCTCAACTTTTTGATTTAAAGTGTTTTGATTTAGGGGAGCCTGGATGGCTCATTGGGTTGAGCTCCGACTCTTGGTTTCAGCTCAGGTCATGATCTCAGGGTTGTGAGATTGAACCCCATGTTCAGAATTTGGCTCCACGTTCAGTGGGGAGTCTGCTTGAGGTTTTCTCTCTTTCCCTCTCCCTCGGTCTCCCTCCCACATGCACCCACACTCTCTCTCTCTCAAATAAATAAATAAATCTTTTAAAAAATAAAATGTTTTGGTTTAAAACAAGTTTTGGTTTTATATTTACATCTTGTTTTTAAAATAGAAATTCTAAGCCAGAGGTCCATGACTCCTGATACCATACAATATCCTTGAGGTAGTTTTCCAAACCATAGACCAGAGAAAGGGAGTCCAAGTGAAGGGGAGTCCTTTTTAGGAAGAGTAAACTGAGAAAAATACTGGGATTTGGGAGTAGTATAGTAGAGAGGAAGGATGCATAGAGAAGGAGTTGTAAAATCTGCATAAAAATTCCCTTCTGGTTTTTGGCTAACTCCTGAGCTGCAAATTCATAGGGTGTGACTCTGAAAGACCAGACTGGAGCAGCTACTGGGAAGCCGAGACCTGAACAGAAATTTCAGAGGTTGCGTGATACAGGAAAGACCTTGGAAATTGGGCATGGCCAGAATGAAGAGACTTAGCTGAACACTTCAGGCATTCAACTGAGGCAAAAAAGGGCACATTCTTACTCTTAGAACCATGCCCTAACAGTAAGGGTCATGCCCAACAGGACCAGTAAGGGCAAACCTGGAACAGACCAACCCAACAAAGTCTAAAAACAAGCTTGCACAGAGTCAAGGTCATTTTCCAGAAGGTCAACTAACTACTTGCTAGAAAAAAACTCAACACCTTTGCCATGTATAATTGACTAAAAATGTATGTTTTACTAGTTGTGAATAAATTATTTCAAACTTGCAATATGGGATTGGAATTTTTTTACTGTTTTAGTTAACAAGTTTAGGTTAAAAGTCTTTTTTTCCCTCTTTTTGAAAATACCTCTTCAGTGGTTCCAGCTAACCCTGACTTCACCCTTCCCTCTTTCCCCCAGAAACTGTTGATTGTGCACAATGTTGTCGTCTTTGTTTTTATGTATTCGTTTATTTTTCATGGATTCTAGGATGCCTATGTTTACATTTCAACATTTATATAATTGGGATGTGTCTTAAAATCAATGGTGGGTCATTATTTACTTGGTAGCTTTTTCTCTTCCTGACTAGTACCTAAAATGCCATCAGTGGTCTTAGTGTCAATGAACCGTAGTAAATATGTAGAAGTGCAATCAGTTATCTGACATTAAGTGTATAACACAAAGACAAAGATAAATTGTTTTAGAGGACCCTGAGATTTACCAACCAAAGAAAATAGACCTGAAGAGCACTATACAGGCATCTCAAACATCTAGATTTGACTGAGCGATGGCCGTCATTTACCAGCCAGCACACTCTGAATGGTTTCGTTAACATTTCTCAGTGCTGGTCTCCTCATCAGTAAAACTGTACGGATAATAGTAGTGGACACCTCGTAGAGTTGTGAGAACTAAATCAGAAAGAATGTGCAAAATGCTTGCAACAGTGCCTGGAATAAACTGAGTGCTTAATAAAACAGGAACCATTTTTACCCGTATAATGATGATGATGTCATTACCAGTTTCTCATATATATCGTCAAAAATGTACATTTTAACCTTTCATTCCTATAAAAGCAAAAGATGAAGGAAGAAAGGAAGGCAAAAAAAAAAAAAAAAAAAGCAGGAAGGAAGGAAGGCAAGGAAGACGAGAAAGGAGGAAAGAAGCAGAGCCGGAAGCAGCTCCTATAGGATACAGCCGCAGGCAGATGGAAACGCACCCCCTGCTCATTTGTGAGGCAAGCTTGGCACTAACTGCTGAGAGCCTAGAGCTTCTGGTCTGTAAATAAGTGCAAAATCATTAGTGCCTTTCTCCCTACTCGGCAGTAAGCTCCACGAGGGCAGAGATATGTCTCTCTCTCTTTTTTTTTTTTTTACTCAACAACAAGCTCATATAGAAACCGGAACTATATGATGAAGAAATGTCATGCATTGCTGAACTCCAATTTGCCTGAAGAAGAAAAAAACCTCCTCATAAAACCACTGTGTTACATAACTCAGAAATGAAGAAATATCTCCAATATGACAATATTCGACGTATTCAATTTTTGGCTTCTGAATAGTTTTCTGAAAAAATATTGAAAAAAATGAATATAGTATCTAATGACAAGGCAAGTTATCGCAAGGACTAGCAACCTAAAGATGATGATTTTTCAGACTCCAGATGATAGCCATAATAACTCTTTTGGGTGCTCCTCTGTCTTCTTAGAAACACTAAAACTGAGAATAAGGGGACGACAGAACTTGCAGACACAGTAACTGAGAGAGAGAAAGGGACAATGAATAACTGCCAGGGAAAAAGAGAAAGGAAAACTACACCAGAAGAAAAAAGAAACAAAAAAACCCATTAATCTTTCATGGTCAGCAAGGCAAGCCCGGGGCAGACACACCCAGCTTGTCCTAGGTTCACATCTGTGTCCTCTTCTAATAATATGACCTGAGGCAGGATCTCCTCTTAGATATCTCCTAAGTTTAAGAGATGTGATCCTTGTAAAGTGCTTAGCAGAACCCCTGGCGTAAAGAAGGCCTCCTTCAGTGATAGCTTTAACTATTATTACTACATTGCTAAATAGGTTAAAAACACAATTTAGAAAACCATACCTCATTATCTTCTGTGTTTGCTGTTTTATGAAACAAGGCACAATGATTTTGGAAAGATTTCCAGGATCCAAGATATTTAAAAGTGATGAAAACCTTTTGTGCTTGAAGGAATACACTTTTTGGTGACTTGGAAAATCCTTTCATTTAGAATAACACTTCTTCCAAAGACACTAAAAAAACAAGGACAGACTCAATTCCAATAATGATAAGTTGCAGTGAAAGAATATCTCCAGTCTTTGTAGTTTGTGTTGTACTTGAAACTGTTTCAATTTTACCGATGTGGATCAACAATATGGAAAAATATGGGGAGTCACGCCACTTCTTCAGAGACTCGATTTTCTTTATCAGAATGCTTCATTCTGTGAAGTGGGGACCTCTGATGTGGCAAGTTGGCTCAAAAAAGAGTGGAACCTGACCAAGAATTTGGACATTTCTTTCTTCAGGCTTCAAAAGAAAGGCTCCGTCTTTTGCTTTCTCTCCCTTAAGCCACCCAGTTATTTTGCAGCCTCTGCCCTTGGCTACTAACAACAAGAATATGTCCTAAGTCCCAAAGAAGCGGCTGCGTTTAGTTACTGTGCTCTAGACATGCACGCATCTCAAGTCAACACCTAATTAAATACTAAAATCATAAAAAGAAATGTTCGGGCTCTGTGTGTTTTGGAAAAACAAAACAAGAGTAGAATGACCACCATACATTCTATAGGTGTAAAATGAAGAATTCTGAGGAAGCGTTGATTGAAAGGGAACATGTGTGAGCATACGTATAATGAGTTTCTCAGACTCCTTCATCCTGTAAGCCGCTGAAGGATAATAGCTGAACAACAGGGCAACTTGTTAAATATTTTTCTCTAATATATTGTGAAAGCTTTAGTGTGTTTTGTTGAAGATCCTCGTGTCCCAAAGAGTTTACATTTTGTATTATCCTTTATTTGGAAAGTGACTTAATGTAAATACTGTTACGTACTCTGGGAAAAAGAAACCAAAAAAGATACCTGACTTTTTTGCCTCACGCTAGGTCATTGATAAGTTGCTTAATGACAAAGGGGCATATCGTTTCTCTTCAAAATATATTCTTCAAAAATAAAGTAAAACTCAATAAGCATCAAAATACATAAACATATTATATATTCAAAATATATTTTAATCTCTGTGATATAACCAGTGACCTATATTTGTATCAATTACCATTTTTATGCACTCCCCATTTAATAAAGCCTCATTTGTTATTTGCTATTTACTCTGAATTGCTTATCTTTGTGTAATCTATTACTAATCCATTTGTCCATTTTCATGTTCTTTTTTGAAGTATTTATTTGTAAAACCGAGGACAAGTCAAAATTGTTTCTATTAGGTTTCCTATAATTCCACATGTGGTAATCGGGCAAACGAACAAAAAGTTCAGAAAGGAGTGTGATTATAACTATCTCATGTTGAGTAACTAGGTTTCAGAGCATTGTTTAATGGTATCTTTTTCCCAGGGTATAGAGGCAAAATTATCTTTATGGGCTCCAGCTGTGTTGTCAAATAAAAACATCTCTAAAGGCTATTTGATGCTTATTTCCTCATTTATTAGGCAGAGGAAAATTTGACCTCG